TTCCGGCTCCTACAGCCATATATTGAGAGCTGCCAAACCCCCTAAACCCTAAACCCTGAACGCTAAACCCGAAACCCGAAACCCGAAACCCGAAACCCTAAACCCTAAACCATCAACCCTAAACCCTCAACCCTAAACCCTAAACCCTAAGCCTCATGATTCTTAGGGTCGTTTGGCCCCTTAGGGGTCGAACGCGAAGGTTGGCTCCAGAGCTTCCGTTGGCTCTTCGGTAGGGTGTTCAGGGGTATTAGGGTGTTCAGGGGTATTAGGGTTTTAGGGTTTTTAGGGGGTTTTAGGGGTTTTAGGGTTTTTAGGGGGTTTTAGGGGTTTGAGGGGTTTTAGGTGTTTTAGGGTATTTAGGATGTTTAGGGGCTTTAGGGGTTTTAGGGGTTTTAGGGGTGTTTAGGGTTTTAGGGGTTTGAGGGGTTTTAGGGGTGTGAGGGGTTTCGGGGTTTTAGGGCGTGCAGGATGTGCTATTCGGGTTTCGCGGTTGCAGGGACTTTCCACGTGCAGAAAGATGTAGGACTTGTTCTTGGAAGCCTAGGATGCAAGCGGTTTAGGGTTGAAGTGCGGGACTTCAGGATCTACCTATAATCTCCATTGTAGTTCCTTTTGGGGGTTACCTTACAGGATCCTTAAGTTTAAATTGGTTAAACCAATAGACGGAACTCCTCCGGAGACTATAGGCACAGTCGAGATTGGGATCTGGGATCCCTAAACCCCTCAACCCCTAAACCCTTAAACCCTAAACCCAGTGGGATCTGGGATCCCTAAATCCCTAAACCCCTAAACCCCTAAACCTCAAACCCTAAGCCCGGTGATAAAGCCTAAACCCTAAACCCCTAAATCCTAAACCCTAAACCCTTGGGATCTGGGTCTTTTGGGGTTTGAGGTTTTAAAATCCGGATTCAAGGCAAAGGCTCGTGGGGTTGCTCTTGGTTCAGGGTTCCAGGGTCTAGGATCCTAGGGTTTAGGATTCTAGGGTTTAGGGTTTAGGATTCTAGGGTTTAGGGTTTAGGATTCTAGGGTTTAGGGTTTAGGATTCTAGGGTTTAGGGTTTCGGATTCTAGGCTTTAGGATTTGAGGGTGTTGGGCTTGTCGTTATGGCTTGTCGATCGATGCCTCACTGGAGCCCTGCTCAGATCTTCCCCCCCACCCCCAGCACCACCCCCAACTAAAGATAAACGTCAAAGTCTCTCCCCTCCCCATCTTTAGGGTTTAGGGTTTAGTAAGGGTTGAGGGGCTTTAGGGTTTAGGGTTTAGGGTTTAGGGTTTAGGGTTTAGGGTTTAGGGTTTAGGGTTTAGTAAGGGTTGAGGGGCTTAGGGTTTAGGGTTTAGGATCTAGGTCCCAAGGAACCAACCCTTCCCTGCCCCCCGGTTATTCTACACCGTCCTATTCCAACTATACTTATAATAAGGAACCCCCAAAGCCCTATTCTAATTGACAAGGCCCATATATCATTGTACCCTAAACCCTAAACCCTAAACCCCTATTCCAAGGATACGTGGCTGGCCGAGCTCTGCCTTTACTCGCAGATGACCCACGCCTCGTACCTCACGGCTCAGACACCTGGCGCTTGCGCTTGCAGGGTTTAGGATGTAGGGATACCCTATAACCTCATATAACCTACCTCTTGAAGGACTGTTTATAAAGTACTCATAATATCTAAGGAGCCCTGAACCCTAAACCCTAAACCCTTCTATAAAGAACTCATAATCAGGAACCGGAAAAACGTAGGTTCTCTAGTGTCCGGGTACGACTTAGGGTGGAGGGCTGAAGGGTTGATGTTGCCTTCGGGTTATAAGATGCTGAAGTTTAGGGTTTGGGGCTTTGGGGCTTTAGGGCTTTGGGGTTTTAGGGTTTTTAGGGTTGGGTTGAGGGTTTAGGGCTTAAACGCAGCTTTCGTCAACAGAGACAAATTATCCCCTAAACCCCTAAAGCCCTAAACCCTTACCTCCTATATACCTTAAACCCCTAAACCAACTAAAGTCGCCAGCTTGCTTTGCAGGCCAGGCAGCCGCCGCTCAGCTTTTGGAGTAGCGGCTGAGTAGGACACACGGACAGGGCAGCTTCCGAACCCAACGCCCGCCACCGCGCCTACCAAGAGGCGCCGAGAGCCAGGGCCGGAGGAGCAGGGGCAAAAAAAAAAAGCTGCGAAGCATCGCGCCGTCATCAGCGAGCCTTTCCTGGTCCTGGGCTCACCGCCTTCCAGAAACGAAAGAGTTCGATTCCTGGAGTCTACTGTCTTCACGGATTTGGCTTGAAGAGCAGGGGCCCCTCTCCACCGCAGAAAAGCTGGCAGCTAACCTGCCTGTAGTCTGCATTATAGTTCTTTTCTGGGGGGGTTACCTTACAGGATCCTAGCTAAAAATTTTGGCCTATAGTCTCCATTATAGTTCTTTTTTCGGGGTTGCATTATTTTATTTATTACCTTATGGGATCATAGATTTCAAATTGGCCCTACACCCTAAACCCTAAACCCTAAACCCCCAAACAGACCTGCACTGGAGACTGCGGGGAGGCCCTGAGGTGCCCCACCCAAGCATATTATATTTATAACATAATGGGCCTCAAAACCCTATTCTAACTATGAAGGCCCCTAAACCCTAAACCCTTATAGTAGCCCTTATAGAACCCTGTAAGGAACCCTCTAAAGCAACCCCCCCAAAACCTTATTCTACTGATGACGGCCCCAATATTTCAAGACGACACCTGAATCCTGGGCCTGATTCGACCTTGAGGGATTAGGGGGTTTAGGGTTTAGGGTTTAGGGTTTAGGGTTGAGGGTTTAGGGTTTAGGGTTTAGGGTTGAGGGTTTAGGGTTTAGGGTTTAGGGTTACCCTGTGCAGCAATCTGTCCACGCTCCCTCGCGCCGAAGCTTTGCCTTCCCCTTACCCTCAAAGGACTCATATTTTGTTAAGGCTTTTGGGCCCAAAGACCCTATTGTATAAGGTTTTTGGGGCTATTCTGATGCTCAAGGTTCCAGCTGCACGAGGCAGAAGCTTTGTCTACAGAGGCCCCTGTTGCTGTGGCACCACAGGGACAAGATGTGGCTCCGCAAAATTTCACTGCTCCGCGGAGTCCCAATCAAGAACGAGAGTTGAGACCGGATTGGCTCTTCATCACAGCACAATAATTTTGGTTCTTGCAGGAGCCAGTGCCAGCGTCTCCAGCTTCGGCCTGGCTGCGGAGCAAGGCACGCATTTTTCAACTTGCTGCGATCGTTTCAGCGACATACCTCAACGAGCTGGTGGCATCCGGCCAGCTGTGGAACCTGACCCAGTGAGTGGCCGTGCTACCGGGACCGGAAGGGCATCTTCGGCTGCATAACCGCCTCGGCCGCAGCCGATTTCCAGCGAGTTGGTGAGTTGGTGGATTGCTTGCCCCGCGGCGACCTTTCCCTACAGCGCTTCCCTAAAGGATCCGAACCTTTGAGATCCCTAAAGCAAGAGCAAACTAGATGGTAGCATTTTGTTATATTATTAGTACCATATCCTAATTAGGGTTAGTACTTAGTATTTTTAGTACTACTATTCCGTAGGATCTTGATCGCACTGATGGCATAGAATACCTTCAAAACCCTTTTCTACCAATATTATAGAACCCTGCCATAAAGCTCTGTTTACTCCCTTAAAGGAACCTTGCAAGAGCCTTGGTTATTATATTAGCTGAGCCCCGAAACCATGCACCGCGACGTTCCCCATCTTCAACCCTGAAGTGTTGTCCCCAAAGCCAAATTCGAAATTTCTCCGTCAGGATGAACATCCACGGCTTTAAAGTGCTGTTCCCCCCCCCCCCCGAATGAAGGTCGAACTTCCACCCAAACGTGAATCCATTCACACACCCTGGACCTTCCAACTCATGCCCGAACCCGAGACCCTAAACGGCACACCCCACCTGATTCGTAGTAGTAGTAGTAGTAGTA